TCGACCTGAAGCCTCTCGAACTTCAATCGGACCGTTGGGTGCCGTGCGTGAGGCACACACGCTGTGCGCGTTGGCAGCACTGACAGAGGTGGTCGGAATACGTGTATTCGGATCGTCCTTACGTGTATTCGGATCGTCCTTACGTGTATTCGAATCGTCCTTACGTGTATTCGGATCACTGTCAAGCATCACAAGATCGTCATCATCATCCTCCTCTTCCTCTTCATACTCCTCGTACGCGTCCTCCTCTTCCTCCTCCTCTTCATCCTCGTCAATATCGTAGCGTACTATACGAGGGTTGCAGTCGCGATTCCTGTCAGCGGGTCCGTTGGTCGCCGCCACTTCTTCGTCAGGATCGTCGTCGTCGCACACTATGACTTCTACCCCCTCGGGAATCCGAGACTTCATGGACTTGCACGCCATCAGCGCAAAACAGACAAGAAGCTACAAGAATTTCAGAGAAAAACGATTTAGTTCCAAACCATTTTAAATTTAAAAAGGTTTGGCCTCGATGGCGCAGTCGGTAGCCGTAGGTCTCATAGCATCTCGACTCCCACGCTATGGGACGGAGCCATCCTAAGGTCGTGAGTTCGATCCTCACTCGGGGCACACTTTTTCCGATTACGGTTGTGGTGCACATTTGTCGAGGGGATTTTACGATTATTTTGTGCCTGAACCCTCTACAAAGTGGTTCAAAGCGGTGAAGCTAGGTTACCCTCGTTAGGCATTATCTACCAAATCTGAAGAGAGTTGTCCCTTTCTTATTCCTTCCTAATAATAAAAAAAAACTCAATTTTCCATATAAATATAGTGCTTAAAAAACGTGTAAATCTCAAAATTATATTCCAGAGAACGCATGTGCCCTTTGTTGTTGTGATATTTGAGTATAGAGAGAAAATGAATAGGCACACTATAATTTGAGGGTACACCCGAAACCTGCATAGACTGACCTTCCTGGCACCTCGTCGCACCGAATCACTTCTTCGCAAAGAGCTTGTCGTACACTCGTTTTCGCGAGGATTTCGTCGTACAGACATCGTCGCACAGACATCGTCGCACACGCGTCAAACGCATTGTCACTCGTTTTCTCTCGGCGCCCTCTAAACCGGCTAATATAGACTAGTCACCGTTTAAAAATCTGGTAAACCGCAACTGTGGAACTTTTACATGCTCTCACCACGGGTGGTGTTGTCACGCACACACCCACCCACACGCATATTCCCTATCTCACTCCTGCAATGTAGAAAAAGACGACTCGCATCTCTTCCTGTCAGTGTATCGCACCATGCCTTTCCGCGTTATCTAGCGAGCCGAACCGCGCCGAATTGGCGCGGCACGGCGGCTATATGGCGGCAATCGCGCAGCGGTCTCCTCGCATATCGCCGCGGCACGGCTGCTGGCGGCGACTCAGCTTCCTCGCGAGTCCATGGCGGCGAGTCGCGGTGTGCACCTTGGGCCTTACATGGAACCGGCGAGCCTCGAAGGGTCTATGTGGCCAGGAGCGAGCGATCCGGCCAGCGTGAGGCACCTCTCGCTTGCATACTATTAATACGACTTAGCTCGGACCTACATACATCAAAACGGCTTAGCAGCAACCTAATACGACGACTTAGCTCTCAGCACGACAAACGACGACAATTCCAGCGACCAGTTGTCACTAGGCGCCTCAAAAATCCCAACCAGCCCATACCATCCAGCTCAGAATCATCCTGTTGAGGCTCTTACACTCAGCGATCCGCGTGTGTGAAACCATCTGGAAGGCCCGAAACAGTTTTCGCCGCTCGAAGCGATTACCGGAAATGGCGGCACGACTCGGAGGTGGCTTGCTCCTCGTAGCAGTCTTGTGCCTGGCGGCGGCGTGCGTTCCGACGAGCTGCGCGCAGCCTCCTCCGCCGACGAAGGCGCAGCTGCGCACTGAGTTGCAAAACATGGCGAAGAGCATCGTGAAGCGGTACCCGCAGTACTCGCGATACGCGCAGGACGCCACCAAATACATCAACTTCGCTCGTAAGGCCTTGGAGCAGCGACTAGGTGGCTGCTCAGCTTACACTACCGTTATTTTTAATACCATTCTCTTTGTAACAAGGTTGCCTGTTTCGTGCTCGTTCTCTGCTTGACTAGACCAAGCTGACAACCATCCTGGCCCCCTCCAGCACCCCACCTCCTTTTTGTTTCTTAAATCACTGACTGCCTTTTCCTTCTTCCCTCTTTCCCACCACCCCGCTCCATTTCCCACGTTCCCCCCTTCCATCCACTTTCCCCCCGCCGCCCTGCCCCTGCAGTAAACTCCAAGTATGACCTGTCAGCACTGCGAGACGCGTCCATCCTCATCCCCAACAACGCTCAGGCAGAAGCCCTCGCTAAGAGAATCCCCGCTAAGAGCAGCAGCATCCCCACACTGTACAACATCACAGCCTTCCACATCCTGCGCCGCCGAATGACCCTCCCGCAGATGCGGCAGGTGAAGCTGCGGACGGCGATAGGTACTCAGCTGAGGCAACCGCTCTTTAAGATGACGCCGATGGGAAACAGCAGCGCTGTGTCGTTTGCTAGGGGGCCATACTTGAAGGCAGACCAGTGGACCACCATTCGCATCCCAGGGCTGTATGTGGGCCGATGGTTCATTGCCCATGGGGTGGATCGGGTGATCATCCCCACTTACACCAAAGTATGATGAGGCAGTCGAGGGGGATAGGAGGCGGGTGTTACTGCATGTTTGGGTTGAATGGGAGCAGTGAGTTCTGATCAGAAAACTTTAGATAAAAATTGTAGTACCGTATGCAGGAGTGGTTGGCTTGGCTTCCAGTAGCTATGCTTGCCACAAAGTGTCAGGGTCTAATGAAGCGATTACAGCACACCATACCTAACACTTTCAGAAGAATATAAAGCACTTAAACGTGACATCACAAGTTATGGCCCCTACATGTCTTAGCTAGGATAAGCCACCAATGTATCGCTAGAAGTTAACTCTCTAAAGAGGGCACAACAAATACTACGGCAGTGAGAAACTAACTAGGGTTTGTATTTTGACACAAAGACAGTGCCTCACTCTCAATTCCACTTTCCAAGGCATACCCATTAACGCCGGGGTGAGCGAGAGCGACGGGGGGACCTGCTAGCGCTTCGGCTCCTGCTGCGGCTTCTGCTGGGAGTGCGGCTACGACCTCGGCGAGGTGGTGAACGGCTGCAAACCAGCACACAGAAAGCACATCACACAGGTGGTAAGTGAACAAGTACACCCACATGTGCACATGAACAAGTCATGTCCTTCATTGAAAAGTCGTATCGGACAGTGTCACGAATGTCCGCAGCTTTACGCACCTTCCGTAGCGGCCATAGTCTGGGCTGCCCCTGCCCCTGCCCCTGCCATAATCTGGGCTGCCTCTGCGGCCATAGTCAGGGCTGCCTCGGCGAGCAGGCCTGTCATCGTCAAAGCTGTCCTCTCTGGCAGCAAACTCTACAGTAATTTGACGACCATCCACGGAGCTGCATCACAGAAGTTGTAAAAGGTTAAGGAACAGACCAACCTATGAACCACATAGAACAGAATGGAGGCAACACAGATGAAAGGAGCAAAACATGGCTTTTGCAGGGATGTGGTTAAGACATACCTTCCATCAGTTTCTTTAACTGCCTTTTCAGCTTCCTCAATGGTCTCATATTGCACAAACGCAAAGTTCTTGCGAATCTGGACTCGAACGAGTTTGCCATATGGCTCGAAGTGCCTCTCCAAGTCCCGTGTTCGGGTATTAATGGGGTCAAAATTCACAACGAAAAGGGTTTTCGAAGGCCTGGAGTTCCTACGCTCCACCTCCCTTTGCTTCACCGGGCCTTCACCCTGAGAACGAAAACAGGCACTATCAAGGCTTCTGATGCAACAGTTGACAAAGGGACAATGGATGGGGAAGAAATTAACAGGCAAGAAAGGCCTCACCCTTGCCCATTCAACGCGAAGGCGTCGGCGCTGCCTACCGAACTCCATACCGTCTAACGCGCGGATGGCATCATCACCGTCGCGCTCGTCATCCATGTAGACAAACGCGAAGCCTGCGTGAGAGATGGCAAGGAACATGAAGAAAACCATGGAACAAGACTTCTCAGCTGTTCAAAATAGACGCAGATTGCAAAAAACAAAGATGATGGAAGCAGTAGGCAAACCGACATGAGAAATTGCTGAGAAATTATTAAAATATAGACGACACGCAGGACAAGAGCACGTGGATATTTATAGCCAGCACGCACACCCGGTATAGGACAGATGTGCTAGTTGACCGTGTGAACGATGACAGGCTCTGGGCATATGTCCTCTGCCTAGGTTGGACATTGAACGAGGTGCCGGTTGTCATAACGAGTCGAGTTGAGCATGCTTGAATCGGATTGACACGACGCGCGATGCGTAGACGAGCAGCGGAAAGCTGGCGCCATCGTTGTCTAAACTGGTCTCTGTCGCCCGCGAATGCCAAAGCGAGCGAGCGTGCATCCACAGCGTGAAGAGCATCCAGAGCCAGAGGCTGAAATGGCTCATCACGTTGTACTTGCTGCGATGCCATGTGTCGGACGTCTGATGTTGTGTGTTCGAGATTTTATGTTGTCAGCAGGAACTGCTAACTGCTGGAAATAGGCAATGTCCAGACGCGTGTCCGGTTCGTTGTTCCCATGAACCTGCAGCTTAACTTTGAGCCTCAAACAATTTCGTGAGTGGTCTAAAAATGAGACTAGAGCAGGAAAATAGATGTTCATACCAGTCTTCATGTCCACCCGTGAGATCCGACCGTAACGGTCGAACAGCCGCTCGATCTCCGACTGCCGAGCCTCATATTCGAAATTCCCGCAGTAAACAGCTCGAGACATGATTGCTGGAACTGGCCACTACCAGGTATTTTAGATTGCAGAAAAGCAGCACAGTGAGCAGTTACTCCTACAAAGGGCCGTCTCAAGTAGAAGCCCTCTGACTCAGCCGTGAAATTGTCAATGGACTCACAACGGCTGTCTAATATCATTGACTCTTGGTGAGTCTCGTATCATTGACTTGGAGCAGATGCTGGGGTTTCCAGCTTCCAGTCTTGCTGGGTTGTTGCCAGTCTACTATACTCCACGAGCATTTCAAAGGTTTCACAATCCGAAATCGCTCTCAGGAGATATTTCGTGATATCCTTCTGTTGAAGTTCAAGTTTTACAGGTCAATTGAAGTGAAAGGTGGTGCAAGCTTCATGAGGGGCCAGTCGCGACGAAAATTGAGGGGTTGGAAAAGTGTTCCACATTGTACCAGGAACGATTTCTGCGACACAGACATCATCCTAGAAATGCTACTTAGGAAAGATGGTTTCTGGAATACGTCCTCGAATAGCAATTTCTCTCTAGCGGCAAACGAATCAAGCTTGTTTCGACTCAGAGGGAGCTGCTTCTCCCAATAACCCTACCGTTTCCTCTACCATCGCCACCGCCATCCACCACTACCACTTCCTCCATTCCACATCGTCCAGCACCGCGATTCGCGGTTGCACCATCCGCTCGGATTCGTAAATCTTCTCGAATACCGTGATCCGAGCTTGTTGCAGTGGAGTGCATTGACTGCGCGATCGCTTTCCTTTCGCGATTCGTCTTCGATCCTAACCGAGGCGTACTTTCTACCAGCGATCATGGCTGGAGGGCACGGCAACGGTCACGGTATCACCCATGGCGGCCTGACGCTGCACCCCGCGGCGCGCTGGCATAAGGTTGTCGGCACCGGCATGTGCGCGATGATGTGGTACGACTTGATCTCAGCGCTCCCTGTCTGGTAACCCTGTCTGGTCTCTGTACGGTAATCATGTCGTGAAACCCTTCGGCACAGCGTGTGCGCAACGTTGTGGTACGGCTTGATCTAAGCGCTGTATGTCTGGTAACCCTGTCTAGTCACCCTGGTAACCATGTCACGAAACCCTGTGTAGTCGTCTGCACCGGCATGTGTGCAATGTTGTGGTACGGATTTGTGCGAGCTCTCCCTGTCTGGTAACCCTCATTGTTATTCATGTCCAAAAACCATGTCTGGCCACCCTGGACAGTAACCCTGTCGAGTAACCCTTATACAGTAACCCTACACGGTAACTATTTCTGGGAGCCCTGTTTGGTCGTCAACACCGGCATATGTGCGTCAAGATTTGGAACAGGTTGATCTCAGCGCTCCTTGTTAGGTAACCTTGGCTGTCGTCGCGCATGTGTGTCAGTGCGGTGTGACTGGTAGCCATGTGTGTTTGTCACTGCAGTGTGACTGGTAACCATGTGTGTCATTGCGGGGTGACTGGTAACCATGTGTGTCACTGCAGTGTGACTGGTAACCATGTGTGTCTATGCTGTTTGTGCAGGTTCTGGATTCTCTACCGCGCCAAAAAGGACTGGCCGGTAGACTTCTGAGTCGACTGAAAAGTTACTGCCATCCTGTGTGTGTGTCTGTCGTTTTTGCAGGTTCTGGATTCTCTACCGCGCCAAGGAGGACGGGCCAGTAGACTTTTGAGTCGATTGAGAAGTTATTGTGGTCCCACGTGTGCGTCTCTGCCGTTTGTGCAGGTTCTGGATTCTCTGCCGCGCCAAGGAGGACGGGCCAGTAGACTTTTGAGTCGACTGAAAAGTTATTGTGGTCCCACGTGTGCGTCTCTGCCGTTTGTGCAGGTTCTGGATTCTCTATTGCGCCAAGGAGGAAGGGCCAGTAGACTTGTGAATCGACTGAAAAGTTACCGTGGTCCCATGTGTGCGTCTCTGCCGTTTTGTGCAGGTTCTGGATTCTCTACCGCGCCAAGGAGGACGGGCCAGTGTTGCTGGTAAGCCATGCTGACAATTGAAGCGGTTTTGTTTTATCCTGTTACCTAGTCCAGCCACCTCCCCTCCATCTCTGTAACATATTGGTTTGGGTCTATTCAACCTCTTGTATAACATGTTAGTGTTTCCATTCCATTTGCAGGGCTGGCGCCACCCGTGGGAGGGCCATGGTCATGGACATGGACATGGGCACGGCCATGGGCATGGGCATGCTGAGGCTCATGGGGAGGGACATGCTCCTGCAGTGGCAGCAGCGACTGGATCTAGCTCTGCTGCCAGCCATGTGAGTTGATGGCATGCTCTTGGGTCGACTCAATAACATGGTTATGTGTATGGTTAGAGGCATGGTCATGGCCATGCAGAGGCTGAGGCACATGGGGAAGGACATGCTCCAGAAGCAGCATCAGCAACTGGATCTAGCTCTGCTGTCAACCATGTGAGTTGATGGCATGCTCTTGCATCAACTGAAAGCATGGGTATGGCCATGGTCATGCTGAGGCACATGGGGAGGGGCACAGAGAGGGGCATGTTCCCACAGCAGCAGCAGCAGCAGCAGCAGCAGCAGCAGCAGCAGCAGCAGCAGCAGCAGCTACCGGATCTAGCACTGCTGCCAGCCATGCGAGTTGATGGCACACTTGATCACAGCTCCCCCATGTGTGCTCACTTCACAGTGCCTCTATGCCAGTTTACTCGTTCTGTGCAAGCTCCTACAAGCAGGAATCATCTCTTCTAATTATCTTGGGCTTGTGTTGCTTCTCTTGCCATTCAAACCCCGATTCTGAACCCCTCTCTCACTTCCTATCTCACCTCCTATCCCTCGACTGACGTCCCATTTCAGTAACTCATGTTGGGGCAAGACATTTTCAGCACTTCATCGGATATAGTTTTAGACTGCATCGCTCAGCTCTTGCAAGCTAGTGCTTCCAAAACTTGCCCAGCTGTACTTAAAGCTAGCAGACAAAATAGTGACCCCCGTCCCAGCTTGAAATAGTCCTGTAAAGAGCTTAAGGGATCGGGCCGAAACAACACTGTTTCAAACGACTGAAATTTCAAATTGAAATGTTCTGATTGGCTATCGCCAAATTGAGAGCTCCGTGGGTTCCCGCCAAACGAATTTTGGAGCTCACGTCAACCGTCGCACGTCTACGTGCTGCACCCTCACTACGGTGCAAAGTGTCAAATGTTGTAGCCTATAGTGAGGTTTGTCTTAGGGGGTACAAAACTTAGGGTTAGCTATATGTACCCCAACCAACATCAATGCATCATCCATTCTTCATTCTGACATGGTATCAGTTAGGTTAGGATCCTGTGGGATCCCGTTCCGCCGTTCTCCGTTCGTACCACCCGAGCCTGATCCTAGCTCTCGTTCGTCTCCTTCTCGTTGTTACCGAGCCTAGCGCCGAGCCACGCTCTCGTTCGTAGCGTAGCCCCCCCCCCCCCCCCCCCCCCCCCCCTTCGCGTCGCCTTCCCCCCCCCCCTCGAGTCGCGCCCGTCCCTTTCCCCCTGTCGCGTCGCGCTCCCCCCGTCGCGTCGCGTCCGCGCCTTCCCCCCGTCGTGTCGCCTTCCCCCTGTCCCGTCGCGCCCCCCCCCCTTTCCCCCCGTCGTGTCGCCTTCCCCCTGTCCCGTCGCACCCGCCCCTTTCCCCCCGTCACGTCGCCCTCCCCCTGTCCCGTCGCACCCGCCCCTTTCCCCCCGTCACGTCGCCTTCCCCCTGTCCCGTCGCACCCGCCCCTTTCCCCCCGTCACGTCGCCCTCCCCCTGTCCCGTCGCACCCGCCCCTTTCCCCCCGTCACGTCGCCTTCCCCTTGTCCCGTCGCACCCGCCCCTTTCCCCCCGTCACGTCGCCCTCCCCCTGTCCCGTCGCTCCTGCCCTCTCCCCCCGTCGAGTCGCCCGTCCCGCAGCGCCCGCCACTGTCGCTCGCGACCGCGCTCGTCGCCGCCGCGCCTGCAGCCGTCGCTCGCCCCCTGCGCGCCTCGCTGCGGCCCCGCCGTCGTCGCCCGCCGCTGCGCGCGTCGCCGCTGCGCCCCCCCCCCCTGCCGTCGCCCGCTGCGCGCGCTGCTGGCCCCTGCTGCCGTACGCGCTGCCATCGCCCGCCGCTGCGCCCGCTCTCGTTCTCCGCTGCTTAGTCCCCTGTTACCTCCCGCTGTCACGCCCGCTGTGGCGTCCGCTCCTCCCCTGTCCCAGAGTACCGCCGAACCCTAATTTGCCTCTCATCTACTGCTGTCCCCTCCCTCTCCGTTCGCGTTCGTTTTCGCTATGGCGACTCAGCGTGTCCTTCGTTTCGACGCTGACGGTAGACCTCTTGATTTTTCCGTCTGGCTTCTTCGTGCTCGCCGTCTGTTAGAGAGTCAGGTCCAGGCAGGCGAGTCCCTCTGGGCGCACGCTACTGGTGCCCTACCTGCGCCCCCCGACCCTACGCCTTTAGGACCTGCCCCTGACGACGCCGCTAGAGCCCGCTTTGCCACTCAGCGAGCTGACCAGACGGCTTGGACGTCACGTGACGCTGCGGCCTGCATCGCGCTCAGCAGCCTCCTCCCTGAGTCTGAGGAGGTTCACTTCACTCAGGTTCGCACCGCTGCTGCGTACCTCACTGCGATTAAGGCCCGCTACTCTACTCCCGCTGCTGTCTCTCTTGGCCGCCTGTTCCTCCCGTTCCTGTTTCCTGACCTGGCGTCTTTTGAGCGCTCTGCTGACTTGATCGCTCACCTCCGCTCGCTCGACGCTAGTTACCGCGCTGCTTGCACTGAGGCACAGCTTGCACTGCTTCCTCCCCCTATGGCGATTACTATCTATTTCATCGCCACTAGCCTCCCTGACTGCCTTGCCTCCGTTCGCGACGCGCTTCTGCTGAAGCACCCTAGTGAGCTCACCGTCGAGGTCCTTGAGTCTGCACTCAAGGACGTCGAGAGCAACCTTCGCTCGGTAGCCGCTGCCTCTGGTGCTGTGCCCCCCCCACTCTTCCACGGGTGCACAGTCCCGCAGTTACCCACCTTTACTGCCTCACTTGCCACTGCCGCTACTGACGCGACTGCAGCTGCTGTTACGACTGCGTCGCGGTCCCGCGGTAGGAGTGGCAAGAAAGGCGGTTCTGGTGGTGGTAGTGGAGGTGGAGGCGGAGGTAGTGGAGGTGGCGTTGCGCCTGGCGGCGGTGGAGGTTCAGGGCCTGGAGAGGCGCCTCGTGCAGTGACTGGTGACTCCACTGCG